CAGCCGCCGTGTCGCCCGCCCAGGCACGCCATGGGCAGCCTGTAAGGTGCCGGCTGAAGACAAGGGCTCTGCAGCGCAGCAGTTTGCAGATCTGGTTTCACTCTGGAGGCTTGGGGTCGCTCTTACGGACCTCGCCTGGTAACCAGACCACCTCAGTGTAAATCCCCTTCCGGGTACTAAGAGCCTACAAGACGACAGGTGGGCAGAGACTAAAAACCCACAGAACTTCAACTGAGAACTGGAGATTTGACCAGCAAATACATTTCGCTCCTTGCAGGTTAACAAGACGTACCTGGCTGCAAGGCTTGCGTTCACGGGGAGAGCCAGGAAAATAGGATAGAGACCACCCACAGCAGCCCCTATTAATCCTCCTCTGACCACAGCACAGGCCTCACAGTTTAGGTCACCTGCACGACAAACAAAGTGTTTCACTGTCAATATCCTCACAGCTCCACGCATCCATGTATGAGCTGCAACAACACGGAAACGGGCGCTTGAAGAACCGGCCAAGCTGTGCCGGTACGTGAGAAATTTTGAAAGGACGACTCTTCCCTTTGGAAAAAAGAAAATCACTCTTTTTCCAACCCATGAAGAACTTAATTGCTCTAAAGTTGATCGTCAAATTAAATCACACAGATGGGGGAAACCAAACTGCTTTGTTGCAGTCACTTTTACATGACTTTGGGTGAAAAATGCTAAAAATCAGTGATGCGTAACAGAAGTTGTTTTATAAACAATTATAAATACATGTCTCTCCTTTCCCACTCGACCTCAAGAACTCCCTCCTGCCCAATGCGTTAGGTGATCTGTTTTTGAAACCCTGCTTTACCAACCGAGGTTTTTCCGGACCACTGCTCTGCAGCGAGGAAAAGCTCCTCTAGCGTTACATCTCGGACAGAAAGCAAAGCCCTTTCCAAAAACAAGGACTAACAAGGTTTTTACCTGAAAATAAAGACTCACGCACAAAAACTTCATAAACCGCTGCTGTTGAAAGAAACGGCACAACGGCCATTGGCAAAGCGGACACGAGGAAAGCCCTTCTGACATGCAGGATCTTCCTGAAGAAGTTGTTTGCTGCCAGGCCACATAAGCTGGCGTTTGCTGCAAGGAAGTACGATCCGTGATTGCAAAGGTTCCTGTGAAAGAAAGAAAGTCGCTTGAGCAATTGAGAGCTGTAAAAAAGCTTGGTTTACTCAGCGCTGCAATTCACTTCTGAATATCCTACAGAAAGAGGTACAAGATGCAAATCTCTCGCTGGTCCAAAATGGAGAGTAACTGCTTTCAACAGCCACCGGTACAGCGCCCTTCGCTGTATGCCTGAGTTCACACACACACCTCGAGAATGAAGCAACAGAAAGGCTAGGAAGTCTTTTCTACAGTTTTCTTTTTCTTTTTTTTATATATTACGGCTAATGGAAACTTCGTGAAATTTGCTCTCCTAATCAGCATGTTTCTAAGCAGAATCTTTTCTCAAAATAAATTAAAAAAAAAAAAAAAGATGTATATAATCCCAGCGAGCTCCTGCAGTCAGCCTTGTTTCTAGCCTGCTTACCCAGAAGCACAGGTTCAGTGTCAATGTAAGAGCTCACAGATCGGTGGGACACCTCTGGCAACCGAGATCCAGCAAGAACGATCCCAGCAACTGCTGGCAGATCCCCTGGAGCGACCCCGGGGGCTGGAGGGCTGCAAGCCTTCCTCGCGGGCAGGGCGCACGCGAGTTCAAGGTGCTGCCTGGCTAGGAGGTCACGGAGCTGCAGGTTACACGCTGCTTTGCAGAGCTGCAGCTTCCAGTCTCCCCTTGGTCACAGAGGGACTAGATGCTGCCGTCTACTGTGTTGTTACCACACGGTTTAGAGCAGCTGCTCCGGCTGCAATCTGCTACACGGCGAAGGCAGAACAGAACAGAGTCTGGCTGGGGACAGCCGGCATCTAAGATCTTGACAAACAGTTCCCGTCCCAGCACGTCCCACCGCAGCAGGGAACGCAAGAGAGGGAACGCGCCGGTTCTCACCGGCCTGATGAGCGGTTTGTGATTTATCCCGCCTGACGCGCAGGGCGTTATCTTCAGCCTCATACCTGGCACGGCCAGTTGGTTAGTGGAAACAACTCTTTGCTTTAGGTTTCCACAGATCTAACGTTCCCAAAATGACAGCTATTGCCAGGCAGAGCAATTATCTGGAAGGCACTCCAACTCTGAAGCTGGGCCAATATTATGATGTTAAAAGTGTATTTTAAAAACGCATCATAATTTGGATTTACCGCTAAAGCTCCCGAGGAAATAAAATGCTTAACTGGTCACAAAATTTATGCTAGGCCAAATGTCATATTTATTTGCAAAATTATCCAATGTGCTGATCTCGAAACAATTTAGCAATTAAAACACATGATTTTAAAAAACTCTTCCACAGTTTAATGCTTACAGTAACATTAAGCACTGACAAATCATATGAAAAAGTCTTCAGAGATGTAGGTGCTAATTCTGCAAAACCTAAAACATTAAAAACATCTGACATTGATGCCACCAACTTGTATCCTCTTGAATAGGAAAATACTTTCATTCTTGGTACATACCAGGTTTTCAAACACAAAAACAAGCTACTAACAATTCAGTTCTGATGCTACAGAGCAAAACAGCTTGGCTGGTCAGATCTCTCTTGCCCTTATTTAGGAGGCAAGTTTCTTTTTTTTAGGGTTTTAAAAAGAAAGGGGACTATTTGCTTTTCCAATCACCATTCTCCCGATACTGGATGTCCTTCACAGAAACACCCCCAGAGCACAGATTTGGCAACGCAGCCATTTCATCCTAGCGGTACGTTTAAAACCCCAGGCAGCGAAAGGCACACGTGTAGGTTTGGGAGGGAGGGTTGCTTGGGAGGGTCTGGGTTTTTTTTATACTAGCTGCCTAGGTGTTAAAAACAAGAACTTTGGTGAGCAGAAACTCTCTCCATCTGACTGCAGGATGCTTGGTCTTCCCTTCCAGCCATTACTGACTTTAAGTCCTGCCAGGGCAGTTCCAAATAAAGGCGCACACCCCCACAGCTATTTCCTTCCAAGGCCCAGCAGCCCCTGGGTACCACAGTTTCTACCAAGACGTTACCACATCACCACCGAGGTACCTGCCTCCCCCTTAGCTCCCCAGCTCCTCTGGGGCAGGAGAAGTGTTGTAAGTGGAATGTGAGCACAGCAGATGCTACACAAAGCTGCAGCACTGACTGTAATGGGAGGGGATAAAGCCTTGGTGCTGTCCTTTCTCAGCTGTGTGGGGAGGCCCTGGGCTACTACCAGCAGTTTGTTTAGCCAGCAATTTATTCTATTAAAAAAAAAAAGCAGCTTCCTATTACTCTTATTTATACAGAATTTATCCAACATGATACACACGTGCAAATCGCTCCTTGCAGAACCAGCTCAGGTCCAGTAAGGTTTGGCAGTGAAATGCAGCATCACAAAACACAAGAAGGTTGTTGGTGAGGCCCAGAAGAGGTTCAGCTGGTTTTGTGCTGCACAGAACCCCGCTGGTGAGCCTGCAGGGCTCTGGCCGACTCGTCCCCCACCACCACCTGGCTGCCTCAGCCTCGCCCCCTTGAAACGGGGAGCAGGGCACAACGAAGTGCAGAACGAGCAGGTTGTGCTCACTCGGTTCTGGCCCCCAGCCAGCCCTGCGGGGCACAAGATGACTCCTGCAGAATCACAAGAGTATCTGCCTCAGGCTCTCCAACATTTCCATTTCCTAGAAAATTTATTGGCTCTAGCACAGGGCTGCCTGAATGCTCAGAGCCAGTCAGGGCTGATCCACCATCCCAGAACCTTAAGCATTGGGGAGCACGTGCCAGAAAGCATCTCAGCAGGACCAGGGATAACAGAGAACTAACCGTGTTTAAAAAACATAAACCAAGCTTTCTGTTCTGGACAGTAATAAGCATTTTCACAATTAAATATTTTTATAACTGCAAGGAAGATCTGCAACACAAGCGTAAGGGAAAAGAAAGACCTCTAAAAGACTTGAAATGTTTGATGCACTTCGCTTCATTTATTTTACCAGCACTTACTGATCTGCTTTAGGAAGCTCACTGAACATCTTTTGTATGACTTCTATCCGCTTAAGTTTTTCCAAATATAGTCTTTGCTGTGGAGGATCTAGTTCAAGAAACTCTCTTCCTGTCATCTTGAAGTCCTGGATCAAAGGAACAAACCAACAAATGTAATCAAGGTTACACAGCCTCAGTATGTATCAAATAAACATTCAGACTCTTCTGCACTATGCAATCACAAACGAGTTTCCTATTTTTCATGGCAGCTTTCAGGTGCAAAGGGCACAATCCAGCAACAGGAGTCTACGGTATTTATGACCATACAAACCCTACCAAACTGCTTTCCTTAGTGATGTCACAGCTGTGGTTTGACAACTGCCCCACCAAGTTAAACATTTGCTGTGATGAAAACGGACGTTCTCACCCTCCAGCCACTCCTGCCAGAGCACCCCCAACCCTGGGGCCACCACAGATGAAAATTCCTCAGAGGAACAACGGGCAGTGTACTAGTACTTGTTTTCTGTAGCTGCATCACCTTCTAACACAGCAGTCCCTGACTCCTGCAGCACAAGGGAGGTCACTAACAGGACAATGGCTTTCGGCAACACTCCAGGTTCAAATTGACTTAACTGTCAAACAGAACCATAAGGAAAAAAAAACCCACCACAAATAAATCCATACTTTGTAAAGATTTAAAGGAATCATGAAGACATCTACTCTGTTTTATATTCCACACCTAAGGATGCTTTTTATTGGTACTTTTAACCAGAGACATGTATCAAGTCAGAAAGTGTACCGATGTATTGGGTTTGCATGCCAAGGATTTGGTAGCAGGGGGGCTGCAGGGGGGGCTTCTGTGAGAAGCTGCCAGAAGCTTCCCCTGTGTCCACAGAGCCAATGCCAGCCGGCTCCGAGATGGACCCACTGCTGGGCAAGGCCGAGCCCATCAGTGACGGTGGCAGCACCTCTGGGAGAACATACTTAAGAAAGGGTAAAACCTGTTGCCCAACAGCAGGTGGAAGAGAGGAGTGAGAATATGTGAGAGAAACAACTCTGCAGACACCAAGGTCAGTGAAGGAGGGGGAGGAGGTGCTCCAGGCATCGGCCAGAGCAGAGATTCCCCTGCAGCCCGTGGTGCCCCTGCAGCCCATGGAGGTTAACAGTGGAGCAGATATCCACCTGCAGCCCATGGAGGAACCCACGCCAGATGCTCAAAGGAGGCTGCGACCCTGTGGGAAGCTGTGCTGGAGCAGTGTCCTGGCAGGACCTGTGGCCCCCCACGTTAGAGCAGGTTTGCTGGCAGGACCTGTGACCC